ACAGAGCCAGGGGTCTGCTTCAGGCGGTCTTTTCCTTAGAGACTGCTCCTGGAAGATTCCTGAGTAATCTCTCTAACTACATTTGTGACTTGCTGCAAGACCCTTAGCATATCGAGCCTCAGGTTGCTGAACTAGTTGAATCTCAAGTCCCTAAGCAGATCTAAGAGCAAATACAACTAAAAGCTTTGGAGTCTGTCCAACTTGGGTCTGTTCTTAGCTAGTTGGATGACTGGGCAGCTTACTTACTTCCCTCTCTGTGCCTAGTTTAATGAATTCCTACATATACCAGGACAGGCCAGCACATTGCCTGGCCCCGGGGGGGATCTGATGTCGTTGCATTGCTATGTGAGTGACATCTCCTCCCAATCCTGCAGCGAAATGTTGCTATTTCTTTTTGGAAACAAAAGTCATGCCAGAACAAAGGGAAAGAGGGAGTTTGACTTTGTTCCTTCTCGACAGCCCTGAGAAGCCTAACAATTTCCATTAAATACCCACAGGGGTGAAACCAGACGAGGTGGTGGTAAATATAGAAGATGGGCCGAAGAAGAAGAAAGACAAAATGCTCAAGAAGAAACTCAAAGAAGAAATCCCCAACCTGGCGGTCTTGCAGGTGTGTGGCCACAGCCTTCTTGGCCATGGATGGGGTGGGAGGCTCTGGAGGCGGGTTCTGTTATTGCGTCAGTCAACCCTAGTAATGCCTTTGTCTGAACTAACTTCCTTTGTCTTCATTACAATCACGGATGCAGAGAAATGAACCTTAACAAGCATGCAAGCCCAAACAATGGAGCTTGCTGATTTTCTGTTTTCTATGTCCTCATATTAAGAAGGGGCATAACTTATATTGGTTAACTTGGATCCAGCAAGGTAATTTGCAGTGGATGAGTTCCCCTCGGCTCAGCTCTCAGAGATGGACATTATCATGCTCAAAATATGATCAAAATAGCAGGACTTTTTAACTCTCCCTACAGTCAGCTCTGTCAGACCAATCTTAACATTAGTCAGAGGCTATTAGCTAGAGGCATATTTATGGATATGAAAATTGGGAGTATTGAGGCTCCTGGTTGGCTCAGTCAGTTAAGCATCCAGCTCTTGATTTTGGCTCAGGTCATGATCTCATGGTTCTTGGGGTCGAGCCCTGAATTAGACTCTTCACTGACAGCATGGAGCCTGCTTGGGATTCTCTCTCTCTCCCTCTTTCTCTGCTTTCCCCCTGCTCATGTGCGTGTACACTCTCTCCCTCTTTATCTCAAAATACATAAGCAAACTTTAAAAAAAAAAAAGAAAAAAAATTGGGAGTATGAAAATTACATATAACAAATTTGGATAAGTAATTTTGATAGGAAATTTGACTATGTGATTCAATTATATTACCAAACCTAAAACTCAACTTGATTTTGCATTTCTAAAGTGTATATAAATAACTTCACACTTGAAAAATCCATGACTGTATGTATGGTAACAAAAACAAATATTGTCACCTTATGTGTAAAGAATTAGGTGCTTAATGAACATTTGCTGATTTGAATGTCTTCAGAATATTAGTCTATGTCCAACAACAAAATGACATCAATTCGCTATAAAAAAGTTTCTCATATTTATAGCCATATAATTTTTTTTTTTAATTTTGGTGTAGCCACACTTGTTGGAACTTCAAAGTTTATCCAAAAGGTTTTATAAATTTCAGAGTGGTAGCTAGTTCTAGGAGTGCTGACTCAATCATATTCCTTATCTTGCTAACAATAAATTAACAGTGGCTTCTTAGATTTTTCCAGTGGGTGTATATCAAGGCTGGTTTTGGAGAATCTTGGCATTTCTCATTTAATCAGTCCTGGGCCTTCCTTCCTCTGATCTCACTCTTCTCCCTTCTCCCTAAAGATATATGATGGTGACCTTGAGAGTGAATTCAACCATTTTGAAGACTGGGTGAAAACCTTTGAACTCTTCAGAGGCAAATCTACAGAGGATGACCATGGCCTCGATGGGGACCGGGTCATAGGGAAGTTTAAGGCAAGTTCCAAAGTTAACTCTTTTATTTGGGTCTCCTGTCTGTAAAATGTCAGATACGACTCGGTTCTGTTAATGAGACTGCGGTGTGGGAAGTATGTAAGAAGATCCCTTAGTCTGTACACAAGACCCTTTCTAGAACTCAATAAGGCTTAGCCCTGTCTTTTGAGATATTTGGTTTGTGGCCAGGGAAGTGAGTTGGAACTCAATCTGATGGGATATAAGGAGATAGAGCTGTTACCGAAAAGGATCACTGAATTTTATTTTGCTTCTTCCGCCCCTGACCTACCCAGTATATGATCTATACAGATCTACCAATTGGATAATTAAACCATCAAACAACACTAGCCCTTCATTCTGGCAGACTCCTGGTGGCAGTACCACAAAGCAGGGGTCGGCACTTACTCTGAACTGCGGTGTGCTTGGCCATGTGACGCAGGGCAGCATGTTGGAAATAGTGTAGGTACCGCAGTTCACCACTTCTCAATCTCATAATCCTAGCTAGCTTCATGATCTTGTACTTGACCTCCCTGAGCCTCAGTGGCGGCATCTGAAAATAGGAAATACTGCAGTCAGGCTTGAAGGAGGTGGTGGGAGAAAGTACCAGCTCAGTGCCCCTTTGTATAAGGTACTCAGCATCCTGTCTGATGCTCCTGTTCATGTTCCTCACCTGATAATGTGAGGGGGGTGTCACTGCACCAATACCGATTCCCTGATGTCCTGTGAAGAAGCTCAGATACAAGCAGGTTACGTGAACTGCCTGAGGACACCCAGAGGCAAAGGTAATGCCAGCCCAGGTCATGCTGGGTCCCAGGCGATGCTCATTTTTCCAGCACTATGCCCTCGATGGCTTTTGATGGCCACATGACCGTCTTGTTTCACTGAATCATGCTTTGCGGTTCCAGGGCTCTTTCTGCATCTACAAGAGCCCCACGGATTCCAGCATTGAGGACTGTGGGCAGCTGAGAATCCAGCAAGGGGTTCCTCCCAACCACCCGGTCAAAGTCCTGATCAGGGTGTACATTGTCGCGGTAAGCCACCCTTGTTTACTCTGAGGGACTGTCTTAATCTGCTCCAGCTGCCATAACAAAGTAGCACAGACTGGGTAACTTAAACAACAGACATTTATTTCCTCATGGATCTGGAGGCTGGAAGTCCATGATCAAGGTGCCATAAGAGTTGGTTTCTGATAAGGTGTCCCTTCCTGGCTCGTAAATGGCCACCTCCTTACTGTGTCCTCACATGGCCTTTCTTCTGTGCATGTGTACGCACACACACACACACACACACACGTGCACACACAGCGAGGGTGAGTGAGTGAGCAAGAGAGTGAGAGAGAGACAGACAGACAGGGAAGGGGAGACCTGGTATCTCTTCCTCTTCTTATAGGGCACTAGTCCTGTTGGATTTGGGCACCACCCTTATGACCTCATAGATCCTTAATTAGCCCCCTAAAGGCCCTATCTCCAAATACAGTCACATTAAGGGTTAGGGCTTCAACACAGCATTTTGAGAACACACACTGCAAACCATAACAGGGGTATGAAGTTTGGTTGGTAACATGCACATTTGCTGGCTTTTCACTTAGGGAAGATACTTCCCGGGCAGGTAAGACAGCTCTGGGTGGCTTCATTTGCTCTCTGTGGGTGCCTGATAGCTGGAGAGCAAACCAAATTAAGACTGGAACAGGAAGCTCACAGGCAAGAGAGCAGAACCAGGGCCGACCAGGGCAGCCGTCACTGTGAAGTCCTCCCCCATGGCGATGCCTCTCCACTGTTGCAGTGAGAAATTTCATTTCAAGTGTATTTCCAAGAAAAATATTGCTTCTGCTCTAGGCTTCTTGTTTTCTGATAATGAGAGCACTACACTTTTTTTTTCTTTTTGTAAGTTTTTGTTTAAATTCCAGTTCGTTAACATACGGTGTAATACTGTTTCAGGTGCACAATTTGGTGATTCAACACTTCCATACATCACGCGGTGCTCATCAGGACAAGTGCCCTCCTTAATCCCCATCCCCTGTTTCCCCCGTCCTCCCACCCGCCTCCCCTCTGGCAACCAGCAGTTTCGTCTCTGCAGTTAAGAGTCTGTTTCTTGGTGGAGAGCACTACACTTTGATTATGAAACTTTTTGACCTGATTGCCTGGAAGCTTGGGGCCAGATCTAATGTTCAATCAAAGCAAATCTCTGCTGAACCTTTGTGGCTCATGCATTTGTTTTCATCTCCTGCCCTTGGAGTTGATTTTCATAATCTTATTTGATTGCAGTAGTCTTACTTTAGACCAAGTCCTTGCTTAAATTGCCTACACCCTTTTTTAGAAACATAAATGAAGCATAAAACAAAGATAAATTATTTACTAATACTCAGGGAAAATGAAAATGTTGCCTTTCCATGATGCGGTCTCCATGTGTCCTCTGCAGCACCATGTGTCTGGCATGTTCTAATCATCAAGGATGTGGTGATCAAAACAAAACAAAACAAAACAAAACAAAACAAAACAAAACAAGGTCTCTGCCCTCAAGGAAGTGACAATCTAGTTGGAAAGATTAGAAGTACTTATAAAGAATCATTGGCAGTTCTGGGTCATCTATATTAAACACCCACCCATAGGATAGTTTAGACTACCTTTTCAACATTTTGTTCAGGAGGTCACTCATGGCATGGGAGAGATCATTAATATGCATTCCTCAGGAAACAGACCCTATGTTCAAATAACTTTGAGAAATAGTGCACATAATAATTTTTCCCTTTCCCAACCCCTGAGATGCACAAAGCCCATTAGCACATTCAAGGTATGAGAGAATTCCAGAAGGAAAGAAGCCTATTTAACTATTGAATATTTAGCAGCATTTCCTAAACTTCTTGCCCCACACCTTTATTCCCCCCTCTGCAGAAAATCCCACAGAACTATGGTTCTCTGGAACATATTTTGGGGAATCCAGAAATAGAGGGTAGGAACAGTAGGAAGGAGAGGGAGAAATATCTTGGACCACAGAGATTGGAGAGGATTATTATTTATTTGCTCATTCGGCAAATATCCACAGCACGCATTTCATGTGTCTGGTATCCTATAGACAAAGGCCAGGGGTACGGATGAGGCTCCTGCTCAGGAAGCAGCATGGGGGTGGGAGGGTGTGGGCTGGAACTGGAGGACGGGCGGGGCTTGGACAAATGGAGAGTAAGTCGGTGGTGGCCCTGGTTGCAGAGAAGATAGATTCCCTGCAATTAGGGACAGTCAGTGAGTTTCACTGGCAGTGCTAGTAACAGTGATTGTGTGATTTGCTCTCTCATGCTAAGATTTAATCAACGAACTAAATAATAAGTTAATTTCGTTTAATAAAACATCCAAGGATGTAAAAAATAATACGACTTAAAAGTTACATCGAAAAAGAAATCAAATCTCCTCACCTCTGCAATTCTATGCCCAGAAATAACTTACTTTTCTTATGAATATGTAAACACATCCAGATCTATAGTTGACCCTTGAACAACATAGTGGTGAGGGGTGTCAACCCCTCTCAGTGGAAAATCCATGTATAACTTTTGACCCCCCCCAAACTTACCTCCTAATAGCCCACTGTTGACCGGAAGCCTTCCTGATTACATAGACAGTCAATTAACATGTATTGTGTATATCATTTGTATCATATACTGTATTCTTACAGTAAAGTAGGTTAAGTGTCTCACTCTTGATTTCAGCTCAGGTCGTGGTCTCACGGTTCATGAGTTCGAGCCCCGCGTCGGGGTCTGTGCTGACAGTGTGGAACCTGCTTGGGATTCTCTCACTCCCTCTCTCTCTCTGCCCTCCCCCACTCATGTTGTCTCTCTCTCTCTCAAATAAATAAACATTTAAAAAAATCATAAGGAATAGAAAATACATTTACAGTATTATGCTGTATTTATTGAAAAAAAACCTATGTGTAAGTGGACCTGCACAGTTTAAACCCATGTTTTTAAGAATCAACTGTATTTATACTAGTCTATAGCTACATCCAAGTGTTTACTTAACAGAGTCTTGCTTCATGCATTACATAGTAATCTCTCTCTTTTTTTTTAAGTATCACCTGGATATTTTCCAGATCAGTACATACAGGTGTTCCTCTTTTTTGTAGTAGCCACGTAGTGTTTTCTTGAATTAATGTAGTATCCATTTATTCATCCTTTCAACAAATCCTAAGACCCTGTTCTAGGTCCTGGAGATAATATAATGAATGCGATAGACCGTGCTCTTGCTCTGATGGAAATTACATACCAGCCAGGGGTGGTGTGGGGATGAAGACAGCATAAAAAATCAACAGAGGAACGGATAACTGAGATGAATGTCGGAGATAACTGCCACGTAAAGAATTAAAATTCAAGGGGCGCCTGGGTGGCGCAGTCGGTTAAGCGTCCGACTTCAGCCAGGTCACGATCTCGCGGTCCGTGAGTTCGAGCCCCGCATCAGGCTCTGGGCTGATGGCTCAGAGCCTGGAGCCTGTTTCCGATTCTGTGTCTCCCTCTCTCTCTGCTCCTCCCCCGTTCATGCTCTGTCTCTCTCTGTCCCAAAAATAAATAAACGTTGAAAAAAAAAATTAAAAAAAAAAAAAGAATTAAAATTCGATGATGTGACGAGAGCAAATGAGGAAAGGGGTGTTTTGGATTGAGTTTCTCCCTAAGTAATTGACACACAGGTTGTTTACAAATGTGGCTCTTAAACAGCGCCCAAATGAACATCCTGGAAAATAGAGCTCTGTGTGCTTCTACATTCCATCTGTAGGCCAGAGTCCTAAAAATAGGATCGTTTCTCACTCAGCTCTCATCTCTGCAGAATTTCTCCATTTTATCACTCCTCTCCAGCCCCCTCGCCGGGTCTTCCCTTACAAAGCATTTCCCTGTGGTGAGTTAAGGCCCGGCTTGTCTGGAAGCAGACCTCACTCTGAGAAACAGACCATTACTCACCTGGCCAGTGCTAAATGCAGGCCTGATGGAGTCATGGATTCAGAGCCCATCAGTTGTGGGGTGAGCCTTTAGGTGCCCCCTTCCCCATGATTTTACGGATAGATGCCCAAGATCACATAAGACATGGGATCAGAACTCAAAGTCATGCCTTCTGGCTCCTGTCCAGCATGGTGCTCGTTACTCTGTCAAGTGCTACTTTCCACTGGGGAGATGACTCTAGGGAAAGTTCGACTTGAGAAAAGCTGATAAGTTTTCTTTCAGCGGTAGAATGGAGAGGCTAAAGCGGTGGTTCTTAACGTTGGCTGCACACTAGAATCATCTAGAGAGCTTCTAAAAGTCCCAAAGCTCAAGGCCGATGAAATTAGAATCTGCGGATGGAACGCGGGCATCCATATTTTTTAAAACTCCCAGGTGATCTGAGTGTGCAGGCAATGTTGAGAACCACTGGGCCACAGGGGTTCTCTTTCTCCTCTCCAGGCATTTAATCTCAGCCCAGCTGATCCGGACGGCAAAGCAGATCCCTACATTGTGATCAAGCTTGGCCAAACAGAAATCAAAGACCGGGACAAATACATCCCCAAACAACTGAACCCAGTATTTGGAAGGTCAGTGGCTATCTGGGTTGTGATGTGCCGTCCTGTGTGCATTTGCTCCTGCTGTGTTTCTGTGGGGGGACTGGTGTGTATGTTGTGTGTCTGAGTGAATGTGGCAAGAGGTTAAGAGCTGACCTCTGCCTTTGGTAACAGCCAATCAAACCTAACCTTAGTGGAGAAGGGCCAGATTCTTTCTTTGGTCCCTTTAGGAATTTGGTTATGCCCATAGTTTTCCAAGAATAGTTTTCCTCGATCTCAAATTTAAGAGGAACCTTGAATGGTCATCAGATTCAGCCTCCTTCCTTTGGACAGAGAGATTTCCTTTTTACAAAAGGCAAGTGCAGCCCAGAAAGGTTTAGAAACTTATTCAAGTTCACACAGCTCATGAGTAGGGGAGAAGGGGCCACACCTTTGGTCTTCTGTCTCCTATCAAAGGGATTTTCCATCCTATAATTTTGCAGCTCATTTGAGGTGACCCCTGAAGTAAACCAATTGAACTGTGTCCTCTGCTTGTGTTTTGCTTTCCTGCGAAGTGTTACAACAGGCGTTGCATTTGTGCACGTTCAGGTGGATGAGGTGTTCTCCGGTTCACAGCAACCCTACTGCCCCTGTTTGTCTTCTAACAGGAGGCGGCACATGTTTGTGTTCTCTCCTTGGGTTTGTGGACCTGCTACCTATGGAGTCAGGTAGATGTGGGTTACGTTCTGCCACGTATAGGCTGTGTAACTTCATGCAGGAGACTTAACCTCTCTGATCCCAGTTTTTCGATCAAACACGAATAATGACACTTGACTCCCAGTGACCTTTAAATGATTAAACATACAGCACGTTGTCCCCACTAGCACATAAGTTGATACTCAGAACACACTTGCTTCCTTCCTCTCCCCCGTGCTAATCATTTTAGCAATGGATTCGTCCTAACTTTATTCAATTTCTCTTTTTCTTGCATAAATAACAAGGAGCGTGAGATGAACTCTCCATCAGCCTCATTTAGGTTCATTTACACTTTGGTGATCACAGTGGACCCTCTGACATTTGATCAGAACCAACCTCTTAACACTTTATTGCTCTGGAGGAAATGAAGCAATAAGTGATCTTGCCTGTTCCCATTAATGAGAATGAGTAAAACAGTGGTGCCAGGGAAACTTGCCCTTGCTTCCCTGATGCAGAGATGACCTTTATTATTGCCTTCCTTTTCTGTAACTAGCACTTCATTTCCCAGGTCCTTTGTAGTCACTTTTTATTAGCTACCGCAGTGCCATGAATTAGACTGGTTTCATGACCCCCGTTTATGGCTGTGGTAAACAAAAGAAGAGGATGATGGAATATTCCCTCCAGCCTCTGGCACGGTGGTACCTCTTCTGGAAGCCCTCCATGCATAGATGTTTTGTTGGACGTGTTTCTCATTGTTACTCAGGGACAGAATTTGCTGGCTCAGTCCTGCGTGTTCCAGCAGGCAAAGTAGAGGGCCCCGGTGCCTGACCTGGGGTCTGGGGAATCCCTCTTTGCGACCTCGCTGAATGAGGATGTCACGGGCTCCACCCCGTGATGCCCCCGGCACCTTGCCTGCTTTCCTTTCCTTCATAGTCTCTGACATACCTTGATCTGCTTCTGTGTTTTTTGGCTGTCGCTCATCTCCCCACAAGAGGGTAAGCTCCATGTGAGCAGGGACTTGGTCTAGTCTGCTCAATGCTGCATCCCTAGGACCTACAACAGAGCCGATAAATGCTCAGCAAGTATTTGTAGAAAGAATGCATGAATGGATGAACAGATGGATGGATGAACCTTCAGTTTCCAGTCAGATTTAATGGGCCCTGACACTCTGCATCATCCTGAGGTGGTGCATGTCCACAGACTTTGGCATTTCCTCATTTTCTTAACTCACAGTGCCTGGCACACAGTGAGTGCGTAATAAATGTCAAATGAACAAATGAATACATAAAAGAATGGATGAATGGGACATCTTTCCTCTGAAGCTTAGAGGTACTGAAGTGTTTCGATAAGGCCCCATTTTTACCCATTTCATGATGCTTTCCCTCTCTCTCTTTTTTTTTAAGTCATTTCTATACCCAACGTGGGTCTCAAACTCACAACCCTGAGATCAAGAGTCGCATGCTCCTCTGACTGAGCCAGCCAGGTGTCCCAAGGCCTCCTCATTTCTCAACCACCGTTATATTTAGAGGTAGTATCTCATTGGCACACAAGTTGATATAAGCCTAGCTTTTCCCCCAGTGACTGGAAGTCCAACCATGGTGAGCTATTTTGGGTAGCTCTCTTAATGACACTCCAGTGAAAAGTCAGGAGAGGTTAATCTATGAACACTCCACTTGGGAAGACGGACCAAAGCAACTGGGTCTTCTGTCATGGTTGCCAGGGTAGTTAAGCACTTAACAAGTCTTCCTTGCTGGTAGCAGCTGTGTGACAGCCAGCCCCAGAGATAGTGGCTGGAGACTTCCTTGTGAGACACGTCCAGAATATCAAGTATAGTTGGGAATCGACATCTCGGAGCCCCAGGCAATGCTGTGCCTTCCAGTGGAAGACACGTGGGTTTCTTCCCCGAACAGCCCTATCTCTAGACCTGCCGAGTCTGTTACAGTCAGTGGAGCTGTGGTGTTTTTGCTTCTTTCTCTCGGGAGAGGGTTAATTGGCTCAGGGCTGTGCTGGGATTGGAGTGGCTGCCACAGTGGAGGGTGAGAGCCAGGGCTAAGTGGGTCTGACCGCAAGGCAGCAGCCCAGACAGGCCTGCGGACGTGGAAGGAAGTAACGGGGCCTTCCGTTCTCCCTTCCTTCCCTTCTCCTCTTGGCCCCTCGCTCACAGACCAGCCCACCCCACCTGTCCCAGGGCAGCCAGAGTTAGAAACAGCTGGAGAACACTGGTGCGTCCTTGACTATGCTTTCGAGAAGACACTTGGCCAAATCCATTCAAAACGTATTTCTTAATTATCTCCTCTAATGTTCAGCAGCATGGATAACACATTGTCCCAGGAAACCCCACAGCACTGTTTTTCCTTTCAGCACCTTGCATTGGTGTGGCATCAGGGAATGAGCTCAGAGCTAGGGGGTCAGGGAGCTGGCACTGATCCTAGTTTGACCTGATTAATGGTCAGGTGCAGGCAAGTCACTTATGTTCTCTGGGTTTCAATTTCCTTATCTGTAAAGTGAAGAGGTTGGATGTGCTGATCCCTGAGATCCCTTCCAGTTCAGAGGAACATTCAATTGTGTGCTCTCTGCAGGAAAAGCAAGGGCTTCAGCAGTGCAGCTGAAGGAGGCAGGTCTCTGTTGTCGAGGGGCTCAGAATTTTCCAGAGATGGCTTTGTAGTCCTGCAATTCTGTTTTTGGGATTTTCCATCTTCTGAGGGGTTTTCATTTAAAACAAACTCAGCTGACATTCTCTGACAAAGGAACAATGAAGGGGAAAGGGAATGGCAATGATTGGGGACCAGTTGAATACCTGGACGCTAAATGTGTGGTTTGTGTGAACAATATCACATGTAACGACCATGCTATATTGCAAAGAAGACATATTGATCCCCACTTACACATAAGGAGGCTGAGAGGGATGAAATAACTTTCCCAAAGTTTTAAACCTGGGAAGTTACAGATTCAAATCCAGAATTAGAAGTTAGGGGACACCTGGGTGGCTCAGTCATTTGAACTTCTAACTCTTGATCTCCATTCGGGTCTTGATCTCAGGTTTGTGAGTTCAAGCCCCACGATGGGCTCCCCGCTGGGCATGGAGCCTACTTAAAAAAAAAAAAAAAGAAAAAGAAAACATTGGAAGCCAGTTCTGTTCAAGAGCAAACCCTCCAGATTTCTCACACCCATCTTGCCGTCACCCTGGATGATTGCAGGGTGCAGCCCATGGAAGGGGAGACTATGGGCTACTGGAAACTGACCACAGAATTGGAAATTGATCGAATCTCAATGAAACGCTAAACCAAATAAATACCTGCTAAGTATTCGTTGAGTTGCTGAGTGTTGAGCGAGTTCGTGAGAACCACAGGCTAGCTAAAAGCAGAGGTGGCAGACGCTCCCTGTGTTGCCAGATGCTGTTGACTCCTAATGCCTTTACTTGGACCACAGGTCATTTGAGATCCAGGCCACGTTCCCGAAGGAGTCCCTGCTCTCCATCCTCATCTACGACCATGACATGATCGGGACAGACGACCTCATTGGCGAGACCCGGATCGACCTGGAGAACCGCTTCTACAGCAGACACCGAGCCAGCTGTGGCTTGCAGAGCCAGTACGAGATGTAGGTTCTTCCTGCGGGGAGCTGGGAGGTGGGGGCGTGGGGAGAGGGGGCACTGCTGGTGTTCAGCAGCCGTGCCTCACACCGGCCTGCTCTGGGAAGGCCAGCTGGAATGTGCCAGAGGGGTTCCATGTCAGCAGGGCTGGTTGGGGAAATCGTTCACTGAACTCCAGGGTTGGGGCTGGGGAGGCAGTGCTGATTCAGAACCCAGGGCAGGGTCTTCAAGAGTCAAGAGCTGAATTATACACGTTCACTCAATTGGCCGGGCCCAGCGGGCAGACTTTCCTGGCGAAGACTGACGTTAGGAGAATTATTAGCAGAATACCAATACCCAAATCCCAGTCAATTATAATGAACTCTCCTGAGTGCTTGGGACATGGCAGACACTACACCTCATTCAGTTCTCTCAAGCCCGTGAGGTGCTATCCCTGCCTTACAAAGAGGGAGGAGTGGACCCAGCTCTGACTCTTTACAATGATTTTGAATTCTGCTTCATTTCAAAGTATTAGACTATCAGCTCTATATTTCCTTAAGTGTGTTTTATCTGATATCTCCAGAAAAAATAAAAACCTTACGAATGTCAGCCAGGAAAATATAAAAACATTCATTAGATGTCCGTGGTGTAATTTTAGAAATATTTGTCTTGAATGTAAAATAACATGTCCTCATTGCAGAAAATCGAGGAAATACAGAAAAGCACAAAGTTATGCTCAAACTATTCCACCCAGACATAACTTATATAAAAAAAAGTCTGCAGTATTTCCTTTCAGGATTTTTCCTATGCCATTTTCCCCCAAAGTTGGCCTCATACTATCTATCCATGTCATTTTGTAAGCTGCTTGTTGTCACCTACTCTTGTGAGCATTGGTGACACTAATTTAGTGTCATTAAGTATTTTTTGAAATCATTATTTTGATAGCCTAGAAATCCAGGTCAGTTTTGGGGACTCTGGTGAATGTATAACACCCCCCTCTGCCCCCGCCCCCGCCCCGGGGTGTTTACACATCCAAAGTACCTGAGAAGGTGCCCTTCAGAGAATGGTTGGCTCTTCTCGCTCTGAAGTCAGGGGAGGAAGCCACAGGCCAGTGTGGTGTCTCTTCTGTTCAGAAGAATTTCCTGATAGCAGAACTAACAGAGAGCAGGGTAGTTTAGTCAAGGGAGTTACAACCTTCGTTCGGTACATTTTTAAAAATAGGGGCGCCTGGGTGGCTCAGTCAGTTGAGCATCTGACTCTTGATTTCGGCTCAGGTCATGAGCTCACGATTTGTGGGTTGGAGCTCCACATGGGGCTCTGTGCTGGCAGCATGGAGCCTGCTTAGGATTCTTTCTCTCCCTCTCTCTGCCCCTTCCCCACTCATGCCTGTGCTCTCTTTCTCGGAAGAAATAAACTTAACACAAATAGATGAGAGCCCCCCCCCAAGAGCACCCCCAAACAAAACCAAACAGGAGCACCTGTTTCTGGGGAGGCCTGTGTATGTATGGCTCTGGGCATGGCTTGGATGAAGTTTTCAGGATCCTCATGCCTCTGGCACAATGTAGGAAAACCACTTTATAGTTAAGTTTTGATTGATTTAAATACTTAAGTTTCATTCTGATGGATCCTGTGTCCCAATGAGCAGAGAAGTCAAGCTCGTCTTGGTCGTGGCTCATAGGGAGCATTTCATTGCGAGTTAATATTTTTTAACCAAACAGCTGGTGTTTAAGGGAAGAAGGGGTTGGGAAGATTGAGAAACTAACCACCAGAAAAATCCCTGATTAGAGAAACAGCACACCTAGACTCGCTATACCTGTGACATGAGCCTCCACTAGGATTTTGGTGGGGGAAGAGGGGGAGAAAGGAGCAAAGAAATTGAAGGGATGAGCTAGGCTTTCCTCTTAGAAGAAGTAGTCAAATGGCACTTCCGCAAGGGACAGGACAAAAGCGGAACTGCATGCCAAGAAACCCATAGGGACAGAGAGCAGATGGCTGGCTGCCAATGGCTGAGGAGAGGCAGGGATTAAGGAACAACCACTTAGTGGGTACAGGTGTTCTTTGGGGTGATGAAAAGTTTTTGAAACTGGACAGTGGTTGCACAACATTATGAATGTACTGATGCCACTGAGTTGCTCAATTTTATGTTATGTGAATTTCCCCTCAAATTTTTTAAGGTACATTGCTAAAACAAAAACAAAAACAAAACCAAAACCAAGAACTACGTTAGTGGACTTTTATGTCAAGCTACTCCGAAGTCCTGCCTTTCATACGAGCATGCAGATGCTGAGGTATTGACCACCAAAGAGAGAAAACAAAACAAAACACATTAGCCCCAAGTGTATGGAGCTGCAAGAAATCGGAAGGAAACCACGGATCCCACTTCGGTGGTCCTTTTACTGGATACCTTGAGGGTGTCCTCCCAGGGGAAGGCAGGCCTCACCCTATCCATCCTTCCTCCTCTTTTCAGAGAAGGATACAATGCCTGGAGAGACACCTCCAAACCCACCGAGATCCTCACGAAGCTCTGCAAAGACAATAAACTGGATGGACCCTACTTTTGCCCTGGGAAAATACAGATAGGAAACCAGGTCTTTTCTGGAAAAACAGTCTTCACGGAGGAGGACACTGGTAACTCCCACAGTGTAGCCTGCTGATGTTGCTTTTCTTTTAAAAAGCCTGCTCCGGTGGTATTTCTGGCTGGGGACTGCAGTCATCTATTGTAAAGTAATTCATGCTCGTGGTAGAAAATCACTCCTAATCCTCAAATTCAGAAATAAGCATGCTGCATGCTGGTGTTATGATAATTCTTCTTTGTTCCTCGAACTGTTATTTATAATATTCCCTTTTAAGGCTGTGTCCTTTATTTACATTGTGTCCATTTTTTTTTTTTTTTTTTTTGGACAATGCTACCATGAACTTCCTCATACCTATTTTTGCACACTTCTGATATTTTTATAGCACGTATCACCTAAATAGGAGTGTTGCGTTGGAAGGTTAGGCAGTAACCTCAAAATAGATATTATATAAGGTAAATCACTGGACACGATCCAAATTACCCTCACACATACTATACCAGCAACTCTCTTACTTCGCTACCAAGAAGCAGATTTTCCGTATAACATACTGGGACATACCAGGAAGATCCCAGGGAGGCTTTCTTAAACTTTGGACGAGAAAAGAAAAGCCACGTTTACTTTAACGACGCAGAACAATTCTTGTAATGCCGTTCCAGACCATTTGATGCAAATCCATAGGTGCCAGGCTACATACCTGCAAAACCTAGGTTCAGAGCGTCCGATGCAGAGAACCCAATTAAGGACGTATTTCCGGATCTTTTCACACTGTTATGTTGATCCCACCACTTTGATGCCAACATTTCTTTTCACCTTGTTATTTTAGCTTCAGAAACCTCTTGAAGGTTTTTGCAGGCAGAGTACTTGACATTTGAATAGTGTGTTAATAACAGATGAATGAATTTTTGTTGAGAAAAATATTTTTTCACAATATACTCTATTAAAGCCAATTTCATTCCTTGGTCCATATTCTACATTTCACGATGAAACCATGTTTTTGCCCGTCAGAAATCTGAAAGGATGTTCATCAAATCTGTACTCGGCTGATTAAACTTTATGACAAAAGATTTAGTTCATTGATTATGTGTTCATTCCCATCAACTTTTACTGATTGTAATTATTGCTGTTATGGGATCTGCCTGTGTGTGTGGCCTTTTTCTAAAACCAAGCTCGACTTCCAGATGTCAAGTTAGGCCATTCTGAACTTTATCAAAACAATTTGATTTTTTTCCAACAATTTTTGTGTTATTTTTGCAAGTACTTTTTCTACCAGTAGTTTTTATTACGTATTGCCTTCTTTGATAAGGTGACATATCAGAGAACCTTTCCTATGAGCAGGTGTGTTGCTAGAAAGGAGCAACAATGAGGAAAGACAAGACCTCCATGAACACATATTGTGTGATTTCACCACCTTGTTCAGGGTCACCCTGATTCACCAGGCCCTCTCACACTATGGCATTAGCAAACAATCTTAAATCTCCAGGAAATATACCCTTTCCAGTGTCTTGAAGCCAAGCTTGTAGTTCATAGACTCTAGAGAAATCTGATTCAAGGGGCAAATGGAGCCCCGGACTCTGAGACCTTGACTGCTCTCTGGTCTTCTTCTCAACCCATCTCACTTCCCAGTCTCTAAACCTCCTGTCTCTTTCCCTTCCCTTCCCTTCACTCCACCCCTACCTCTTTCCATTCTCTTTTTGTCCTTGTTCTCTTTTGCTCTCTCCCTGTGCCTCAATATACTTATTTAACCTTTAAGGAAGAGTTTAAAAGTGCACCCGACAGCCCATCACTGTTCCATTGCAAGCACTTATAGCTGACAACTGTCTTTATTTCTTTTTCTTCCATGCAGATGAGACGGTGGAGTCTTACGAGCACCTGGCCCTCAGGGTTTTACATTCTTGGGAGGATATACCAGAGGTTGGGTGTAGGCTGGTTCCTGAGCACATAGAAACTCGGCCGCTGTACCACAAGGATAAGCCAGGAATGGAGCAGGTAGTGGCCAAGGCAGTTCTGGCCCCAGCTGGAGTGTTCACCCCCAAGGAATAGGGCTTCATCCCTAAAAGTTAATCTTATGTGCCCTAGAATAATGGTTCTCAGCCAGGGACAATTTTGCCTCCCTGCCCTAAACATTTAGCAATGTCTGGAAATATTTTTGGTTGTCTCATGTGGGTGGGGGTACTATTGGCATCTAGTGGGTAGGGGTCAGAGATGCAACTAGACATCCCATGCTGCACGGACGGCCTTCTGCAACAAAGAATTATTCAGCCCAAAATGTCAATAACGTTGAGGGTGAGAAGTTCTGCCCTAAAGCCAGAGTTGGATTTAGTGCTTTTTGCTTTTTTAATGGATTTGAGTTATCAAACTCTGGAAAGAATGCTGATATTTGAGAAGCCAAAAGACCTTGTCCAGAATCTATCAGTAACTTCACAGTTCACTAGTTTTCCCAGAGAAGCAATAGCTGGTGACTTATTTTGAAGAATTGGCAAGAGGAAGTGTGTGGAAAAAATAACCAGAGATCTGGGTTATGAGTGAGAAGGGAAGAGAAGATCAACTTTATTAAGAGCCTTCTTAATATGTACTTATCAACCATAGGTACATAATTAATATGTACTTATGTACTAAGCCCTTTACATAAAATCTCACCTAATTAGGATGACCATAGAATTGTTTATCCAAATGATGACCATTTTCAGAGTGAAAGAGGCCACCAGGGACACCACCAGGATTTTCCTAGACAAGTAGGGGCATGTGGACCACCTTACTCTTACTCCTTAATGCAGCCTCATGATGTACTTACTATGATCCTTACTTTTAAGATGAAGACATTGAGGTTCAGAGGGTTTAAGTAACTTGCTCAAAGTTAATCGGCAGCTAAGTAGTAGAGCTGGGGTTTTACCCAGGCAGTTTGAGTTATACTCCTGTCCCAGCCCTGGACTCCCTCACCGTGTCACTTGGTCAAAACATACAAGCTTGACTCTAATGGAGCAGGAACACCCACACTGCTATTTCAGTGGTGTTGGGGTGTAGCACTAGTGACAGCACGTGTGGGAGAGTGCCTTGAAAAGATAAGCTCTTATCACATGTAGAAGCCTATGATTGTTTCCTGAAATTTACTACCAGATATTTAAAATCTTTTGGTTACTGGTATCTTTCATTTTACTGTGTGGCTGTTTGGTTACAAGTGAACGTTGATATCTCTTTAGGATTGTAATCCTTCGTTAATTGGTCCTTCTCTTCCCAAATGCTCTTTGCTGACATTGTCCCTTCCCCAGGAAAGCTCTTGTCTTTTCTGGCCAAAGCCTCTCCTTCACCTAAATCCTACAAATCCTCCCTGCTCTGTTGGAAGCCAGCCTGCCTGCCTGCCTTCCTTCCTTCCTTCCTTCCTTCCTTCCTTCCTTCCTTCCTTCTTCTTTCCCTTCCTTCCTTCCTTCCTTCCTTCCTTCCTTCCTTCCTTCCTTCCTCCCTCCCTCCCTCCCTCCCTCCCTTCCTTCTTCTTTCCCTTCCTTCCTTCCTTCCTTCCTTCCTTCCTTCCTTCCTTCCTCCCTAACTTCCCTTCCTTCCTTCCCTTCTTTCCCTTCCTTTTTTCTTATAAAATCTCCCCTGACCATCCCAGTCCTTATTGGTCACTCACCTTCTTGCCTGAGCTGATGGAGTACTTAGAATGTATACAACAGAGCTGAGCATTGAATCCAC